AATGCAATAAAATTCATGTAATAAAAAAATAAAATAAATTGATCGAAAAAAATCTCCATTAAAAAGTAAAGTGTTGATGAAATGAATACAATAAATTCATCTTTTAATTTGGCAGCGGTTTTTTTTATTTATTGCATATAAAATTGATTTGTTTGTTTTAAAATTAAAAATGTCTTTTTTTTGTGGGAGAAGGGGGGTTGGTAAATCCGCTCTTTTGAAGAAGGAATCCATGTATTTTCGTTTGTAGGCTCTTTCTGATGCAGGATCCTTTCGGTTCCTATATATAACTTCTGTAACTCTCAATTAAGCTCCGAATCCTTTGATGTTTCTTGTACACTCTACTTATTACTATTTCTCGTTTAGAAAAAAAGACAGAATTCTATCTATTTTTTTCAAATTATAATGCTTACCAATATTCTTTTTTTTTACTCAAAATTTTTTTTTTTTTATTAAAACAATTTTTTTCGAATTCTATATGAAAAATAAGTAAATACCTGTTGTTTTAATTTTTTTATTTGATCAAAATTTCGGAATTTGTGATTTTTTTTAAATTTAACGTATTCAAAAGTCTTCTGCTTTTAATATTTAATATTTAATATTTTAAATATTCAAGAAAAAACAAATTTTTTTGTATTATATTATTTTTTATCTTTTGGTATAACAGAGAAAAAACTGTTTCAAAAGTCTTCTGCTTCTGAAGTTGTTAAATTTAAAAAAATCACAAATTTCGAAATTTTGATTAAATGAAAAAAAATTTTCTGTATCTGGTAATTAAAGTTTTGAATAATTTTTAATAAAAGTTGTTGGAAAATGTTTATAATAATATAGATTATATTTCTTATGTGTAAATTGATTGAAAATTTTATGTTGATAATTCGGTATTTAAAGAATTCCATCAAATAACAATTCTTGCAAATAAAAAATTCAGACAAGTAAAGTGTTTTTCAGTGAATATTTTGTCAAAATATAAATGTGATTATATAAAAATTTAGTTAAATTTAAAATGAATTAATTATTAAATTAAAATTTATTTCTATTTAATTCTATCAATTTTTAACTTTTTTATAAATTATTATAATTCAATTTGTTTGTATTATAATTAACGGATTCAAATTAAGAGAAATTAGTCTAAATTTTTATTTTAGTTAAATATATGTAAATCTAGAAAATAAATAATTGCTTCTTTATCGTAATAGTTGGACATGCCATTTTAGGGGGTTCAGTAGTTGGACATATAAGAAAATACGCATAATATTTATTTGCATATTAATGTTTCCCACGTCGAAAAATTCTATGGAAGTACCCCCTAGAAATTCCATGGAAATTCTGCAAGTTTTTTATTTTAAGAATATGTTAACATTTCCATGGTTGCCATAGGTCAGGGAAAAGTTAGGAATTTTTATTAATTAATTACGAATTATTGCAGAAATTCAATTATTTTCAAAAGTAATAAAATTTTCAAAAACATTCATTTCTTTAAAAAATTATTTATTTTTGCATTTAAATAATTGAATTCTCATAGAATTTTCGAATAAAAATTCATTTAAAAATGAATTTCAGTTAAAATTTTACATAATAATTGAATATTAAAAGTATTATAAGCATGAATTTTCAAAAATAATTAAATTTTAAATATTTTTGAAAATAATTACATTTTTCGAAGAATTCACTTAAAATTGTATTAAAAATAATTGAAATCCTGTGAAGAATTTTATTATTTAGGAGAATAATTGAATTCTTGTAAAGAATTTTTATTATATTTTTTTTAAATAATTCAAGTCCTGTGGAGAATTGTATTATTTATGAAAATAGTTGAATTCTTGCAACGAATTTTTATTAAATTTCCTTTAAATAATTGAAATCCTGAGATGAATATTTTTATTTATGAACATAATTGAATTCTTGTAACGAATTTTTATTAAATTTTTTTTAAATAATTGAATTTTATTGAAACATATTTTTCTTATTTATGAAAATAGTTGAATTCTTGCGACGAATTTTTATTACATTTTTTAAAATAATTGAAATCATGTAAAGAATTGTATTATTTATGAAAATAATTGAATTCTTGGAACGCATTTTATTACATTTTTTTAAATAATTGAATTCTTTTAAGAAATTTTATTAAAATAGCAGATTTTGAAAATATTTGAATTTCAGCGAAGAATTTCATTAATTTCATTAATTGTGAAATGTAATTGAATTCTTGCAAAAAATTTTTGAAAATTATGACATTTTTCGAGGAATTTATTTTAAATTATATTAAAAATAATTAAAAGTATATGAAAAATTTTATTATTTATGAAAATAATTGAATTCTTACTACGAATTTTGTTACATTTTTTTAAATGATTAAATTCATGTGACAAATTTTATTACTTGTAAAAATAATTGGATTCTTGGAACACATTTTATTACATTTTTTTTCAAATAATTTAACTTTTTTTTTCTTTGCAAAATTTTATAGAAACTTAAATTATTATAAAACATGAATAAATCAATTATTTTTTATAATAATATTCTTATAAGTTGCAAATAAAATAAAAAAAAAAATTTCATAAAGATTTGTATTTGAAATTTTTGGAAAATCTTAATTTCTATTGGATAATAATAATGATTAAATATTTATTTTAAAAAGAATTTATTGATGTTTTTGAATAATTTTACAATTAAAGAAATTCGTAATTAAATCCTAATAGAACAGTTTTTTGAGTACCTAATCATTTTTAGCGTGAATCAGAATATTCCTTAGAGTCAGGAAAGAATTGAAAATTTTGTCTGGAAATCAGGGAAATTCTTCAAGTTTTTTATTTTAACGATATTTTAACATTTCTATTATGATTAGAGTCTAATAATAAGCTTTGTTGCAATTGTTTTTGCAAAATGCCTTTTTCACTCAAGTTTTGCAAATAAATTGCAACAAAGCTTATTATTAGACTCTAATTATAATAGAAATGTTAAAATAATATTAAAATATAAAACTTGCAGAATTTCTACGGAATCTCCACGGAATTTCCAGGGGGTACTTTCACGGAATTTTTTTTCGTGGGTTGTATTTGTATATTAGTTAATATTCTTATTAAAATTAGTTAGTCATTTTATATTAATTCATTCATTATTTTATTAGATTAACGCGTGTAAAGTTTTTGTCCAACCACTGATGCTGCTGGTGCTTAAGATTAAAAAGCAGTATAGGTAAATTTGGACACTCGATTTTGAGTAGTTCCTAACATATATTTTTTTTTATTTTTGGCTTAGAAATTGCAAACTTGAATTACATCCGAAAGCTAACATTCAGAAAGGGCATATATTATTCTTTTCGCCTTTACATTGGAAGGTGTTTTAATTCTTTTTGTTACTGTCCATCTATTGGTTCCATTTTTTCCAATGTACTGGTACTCTTACCTCACTCAGGAAAAAAAGTCTGACTCCGTTTACACCTTAAATTCAGCCTCAAAAAGAGGCTGAAAGTAAAACTTTTTTTTTTAGTGTGTAGCTGATTATTTTTCAATAATAATTTGGATTTAGTGAGAGGGAATATTATTTTTAATTGATTTAAATTCAGCATGTAGATTGGAATATTTTTAGAAAAGTTTACATTCTATGGATTCTTAAATTCTTGAAATGCTTAAAATATTTTGATACAGGTGGAAATAATATATGTTTTCTAAAAATGTATAAATTGAAATACATTTTATAGATATATAAAAGTTTCGTTTAATTAAAGAAAGAGGAATCGAATAATTATCTGATTTGTGTTCCTCAGTTTGGCCTTTCTGTCATAGTATTTGATATATTTATATATATTTTTATCTGTGTGTGCTTGTATGTTTACGCGATTTATTTTTCATTCGGAGATTCTTCTTTCTGAGAAGAATTTTGAACGGGTCCGATTAAGCGACTAAGAGCAAGTTTTGCCGGTGGTCGTTTGCAGTCAGGAAACCAGAGTCTTGTAAATGGGGAACTTCTCTCTCTCTCTCTCTTTCTCTCCTTTTATTACCCTGTGTATCTTTTTCCCTTTCTCTCCTCCTCCTTTTTTTTATTTTCTCTTTTCGAACCCCTTTTCTCGCGCGAACGAGGTCTTGTTCATTCGACGTAACAAGAATACGCCTCCGCGCTTGTTTTGTGGTCCTTTCCTGAATTTTTTGGTTAAACAAATTTTTCTCTTTTATCCCTCTTCGGAAAATATAGGAAGCATAAAAATTTGTTTAAAGAGTTTTCAACTGCGTTTATATAGGTGACCTATGTATTATATGATTTATATCACGATAAAACAACTTGAAAACAATTTCTTGTTGTTACGAAAATATATACAATTTGGTAGTAGGAAGGTAATTGAATAAAGTAGGACAGAGCAGAACACAGCATGAATAATTTATTTCAATTCATGAAGTAATCCTTGTATATTTACGTCGTTAATGTGGGGTCATTGATTTTTTTTCCAAACACAACAAACTTTAATGATAATATAATTGACAGATGGATTAACCAAGTTATTGTTCGATTTCACTTATGTTATGAATTTTACCTAAGATAGTAATTTTCTTTAGAAAAATAATGGAAAGAATATTCAAAAAGACAATATATGTATTCATATTTATAGTATTTCATCATTATCTCTACCCTTTTTTTAACATCATTGAATTACTCATTTTTCGTTTAGTTACCAGAAAATTGTAATGCGAGAGCAGCTGGATCTCATCACGGTAAGTTCAGCTGAATTTCGCGTCATCAATTATTTATCAACATTGAAGATTTATGTCACAATCTTAAATCCCCCCATCTTTCGAAGAATCATTAATTAATCGTCGAAACAGTCGAAATTATCATATATGGAAAAATGGACTTTTCTTTTTATTTTCAAGGAAACTTGAATTTCTTATATTCTTCTTCAAATTCCACGCCGGCAATATTTATTATGAAATATTTCATTTTCTTATATCAACGAAGAATCGTTAAAGTTGGAAATTTTTTGAGAAGCCATTTATCTTTAATAATAGGTGTTAATGTTTAGTGCAATAATATTGGGAATGAATTAAGGAATGTGGCATTGCAGATAAAAGAAAGAAGCACACGGTGTCTGTTTGATATAAATTTTTGTGGTACTTGATCGAAAGAAGAAGAGTTTTTTTCGATAAGTTGTGTGATTAATTGATCGTCGAGAATAAAAAAAAACATTTTGTGCGACGGTCATTTGGTTGAAAATTGAAACAAATCTCAATATAACAAACTCTATTCAACGGGACATTTTCATGAGTGAATCAGAGTGAACGTGACGATTTGAGAGCCGCCAACATGGATTACAGACTCTTGTCGAACAACAACAATTACTCCACGCACCACCGTGAGTATACTTTCAGTATATTGGAATATTTTGTCCCTTTGCTTCCATTTACAGACTAACACTGTTGTTAATAAACATGCATGTGCTTATGTGTTTTTGCACATTGATTCGTGAACTCTTGTATTATAATACTTATCAGAGTACAAGGGCCATGGAGATTCAATAATTTGTCCATGCCTCTCGTTCACGTTTTTTATTTCACTTAACACGACATTTTTTTTTATCCCTTATCATTTTCACTTGTCTTCATTATTTGTTATAAAAGGAACTATTTTTTTTTGTTCTTACAAATAATTCTTTTCTCCATTAGTGAATAAGCGCTTTTGGGATTTTTTTATTACTGAGACATTTATCGCTTTATTAATCAAGTATATAATCAAAGAAGAAATATTTATCTCAAAGCCCAAGTGTAAAATTTGCCTTTAACATGTACCTTACCAGAAACCAGAGAAACTATTTGGGCCCTTGCTAAAAAACCCATTTCAAATATCTATTTGCATCAAATAAATATTAACATAAAAAAATATTTATTTCTATCAATAAAATTTTATTTCCTACTTATGCCAAAGTATCATTTTTATTTGAAACAGGCAAATAGTTATTTGGCTTTGAGACAAGTGGTTTTTCACTTTATTCAGTTTATTCAGTTTATTCAAATAAATAATTTCTCTGGGTGTAACAATACTTTTGTTGAATTTGTCTGTGTGAACCAAAACGAGTCAAGAGTTGTCATCCTATTTTTTTACAATGTAATTGTAATTATACAACATGATTGCTTTGATTAACGACAATATTTTCTATACTTTTTATATCTTACTGGAAAATATTTTGTAAATTAGAAAAAATTAATTTTTAAAAATGTAAAGTGAATCATTAATTAAAAATATAAAAATAAGTTTAGTTATTGAAAAAAAATAATAAACGCTTCTATTCTCAATAATTTTAATAAAAATTGTTTTTCGAACATTGATTAACGAGTTTGTTTTTCGACGGTAATAACTATATGAAAACTATATTTATCGAAATTTAAAGTGTTCTTTATGTACCTACCTATTTTATGTACATGAAACACATTGATAACACTATACTCTTATCAATATGTTGTTTATGAAAGTATAGTTTTTTTTATTTCAATTTTTCTAAAGATTATAAGGGTATACATGTAAATATCATTTTCAAAAAAATATATATTGTGAAAAGTCTAATTTAATGAAATATTTAAATTATTTAACAATTTCTTTACACAGTAACGAATTATCTTTGTTTATCAATTTTCGTTTCCGTTCATTAAAAAAGGAAACACATTTTTTCTGCAAATGCAGGTAAAATAATGACACTCAATCGTCAGATAACATTTAAAGAATTTTTTTTTTTTCACTTAAAAGTAATTAACTTCTTTTCCTATCATTTATTTTCTGTACATAGAATATAAGAGATATACGAGTATTTTCGTTACTTTTTTGAAATTGTATTCGCAGTGTGTAAAAAGGTTCTGATAATTTCTCACCTGCTTCAAATCATGTTTGTGGGGATTTGTTTTTCAAACGAAAATTATATTTTTGAAGAAAAATTGTTTCCCATCTGACATTTATCGCAACAAAATTCTATTCTGTTTTTTTTTTAATAGAAAATTGAAATGGCTTTGAAGGTTGGGGGAAAAAAAATTATGTGCGCACATGAGGATGCGATAATTTACCATCTGCTCCCCATCATTTATACACCTTGTCCGTTCATTTGTTTTCAAACGAACGATATTATGTGTTTCGAGTACAATTCTCATTTTATATTTGTTTTCAATTGAGTTTCATTGGAATTTCTCTTCTCATTGATATAATGAATATACAATAGGTGAAAATTTTAAAAAGAAATTTACAAAATTAAGACCTTCGTGGAATTGTTTTTCTTAATTTTTTTTCATGAAACAGAATTTCCATGCAACACAATTGAAATTAACCATAATTGTCATTCAACAGAACTCACATTTAAAAGAAAATTGTCATGCAGGGCTCGGATTGTGCGACTTTTTCGACATTTTTCAACTTTTCTAAAGAAATGTGACTTTTTTCGACTTTTTTGTGAAAAAATGTCAAAAAAGTGTTCTGTTACATTTATTTACAAATTTCTTTCAAATTTTTCGAAAACATCAATAACTTTTTTTTAGAATTTTGCAGAAGAATGTTGATATTTACAAAGATAATTGAAATTTTGAAGAGAATTTAAAAAAAAAATTTTTTAAATAATTGAATTTCTGTGAAGAATTTTTTTACTTTTGAAGATAATTGAATTTTGCAAAAAATGTTATCAGAAATTTTGAAAATAATAAAATTTCCAGGATGAATTTTATTATTTATGAAGATAATAAAAATTTTAACGAGAAATTTAAAAAAAAATTTTGAAAATAATTTAATTTTTGCGAAGAATTTGTATTACTTTTGAAAATAATTGAATTTCTAGAATAAATTTTATTATTTATAAAGATAATTGAAAATTTTGACAAGAATTCTATTAAAATCCTTTGCAAATAATTGAATTTCAGAGAAGAATTTTAATACTTTTGAAAATAATTGAATTCTTGTAAATAATTTTATTAATTTTGGCAAATAATTGAATTTCAGAGAAGAATTCTATTACTTTTGAAAATAATTGAATTCATGTGAATAATTTTATTAATTTTGGCAAAATAATTGAATTTCTGTGAAAAATTAAAATAATTGAATTCTTGCAAATATTTTTATTAATATTTGAAAAAAAATTTATTTTCCGTAAAGAATTCAATTGAATTTTGAAAATAATTGAATTTTTGCGAAGAATTTTATTAAAATTCCTTAAAATAATTAAACTTCCGCGAAGAAAATTTTGTATTGAAAACACCCGTGTGGAAAAATTTTAGGGCGCTGACCAAGCGCTTAATAGACTGTCTAACGTCTTTCTAGACCCAGGGCAGACGGTCTTGTCGAGCGGCTGTTCAGAATTGAAACGAAACTTCCACGCTATCGTCTAGAATAGACCAGCGTTTCTGGTCTGATCAGCAGTGCTAGTAAATTCTAATCTACGTCTATTCAAAATTTCTCATTATATGTTATGACAACTATTCTTAGAATAATAAAACTTAATTATATTTGAAATAATTTTAATGACTTTTTTTTATATAAAAAGTATTAAAAAATATTTTAACTTTCTGTATTTTTCACTTCAACTTTCTTTAAGCGTAAGGCTTTGTGTCCCTCCCAATCTTTGGCATTGGAGATAGTAGTCTTTTTGTAAAATAAAATTTACTGCAAATCAAAACAGCCGGATGAAACTATCAGTCGTACTCAGCACCAATCTTTAGGCGTCAACCACTAATTAATGAAATTAATAAATAAAAACTTACTAAATTTACTATTTAGTGGATATTGATTCTCAAATAACAATACTCGATGGTTTTTTAAATCATTAAGTATTACAAAATTTGAAGGAGAGGCATATTGGTAGATGACGCCTAAACATTGATGCTGAGTACGACTGCTAGCTTCAGCCGACTAATCAAAACACATAGAAACACATCAAAATCATTTTTTTTCAGGGCACATTTAAAATTAAATTATACAGAAAACAACAACAACATAGCACATTATTATTCACGTAAAACAGAAACCACAACAAATACTATAATTCACAAACAAAATGCATCACACACTGACTGATCTAACGACGCCAAACGACGCGACGCCATTAGGCGCCATGTTACTTAACAGCTGGGCATTCATCGACGCATGCGCATATAACATCCTAGACCAAATCTAGACGGTCTTAATAACACCGTACTAGACGGACATATTTGACTTAGATTTTTTCTAATAAGCCAATCTGTTAAGTCACTGATTCGGGACTTGATGGACCGTCTAGAATTAGACGGACTTGATGATTGCTAATCGGGAAATCATTGGACTCTAGACTGCCACAATATTTTTCCACACGGGCAATTGAAGCGTTTTGTGCAGAAACCGCATAAGTCCATTTTTTTCGAAAATCACTTTTTTATTGAAAATTTATCTTTAAATGAAGCTTTTCAATCTGGTAAAATATTACATAAGTGACTAAACTCTAAACCCTTAAAAAAAATAATTAAAATATCATTTTGTGCAGAAACAGCACAAGTCCATGATAAGTTTTATATTTATTTGTGCGATATTCTTGACGTATTTTAATAATTTATTGAAAATTGGTTAAATTTATTCTTAAAACAATTTTATTATTTATAAAATGTTACTAAAAATTATCCAAATTTAATATTTTAAATAAATGTCATTAAATATTTCATAGAACTTTGATATTTCACTGGATTTAATAAATTTTCTGTGTTTTTCATTTCATTTTGTGCAGAAACAGCATAAGTCCAAATGTTAATTTATTTTTTAATTTTTTATATTAAGTAGCTAATTAATTAATCATATTGGATTTTTTAACTTATAGGTTAGTAGAATATAATGCAAAATAGCCGAATTTAAAAAAATCTTAACATTTACGAGAAAAACAGTCAGGGTGTCTAGCGAACCGGGAAATCGGGAAAAACCGGGAAAAACCCGGGAATTTGGTTCGACCTCAAAAAACCGGGAAAAACCCGGGAATTTTCTATTTATAGGGTATTTTTTTAATTATGTATATAAAAAATTATAATTTTTTTCAAAATCGTCAAGGGTAAATTGATAGTATGTATGAAGCAGTAGTAAAAATAATAACTTAAATTTTATTTAAAACTAACTTTAGTACACGTTATATTATAAAAGTTAAAGAATTTGTACTATTATTTTTATATAACAATTTATAGGTATACAATACGTAACAAATTTTATAAGAAGAAATTAAGAATCTTCTGTGATATAGGAAAGGCAAAGATTTTACTTTTTAAAACTAAATATGGGGCATTCCATTTCAAAACGATCCTCCTTATAAACAATTGACATTGTAAGGCAATTTTTAAATCATTATTTCTTATATTTATTGAAGCCAAACTTTAT